TATCTATCTATCTATCTATCTATCTATCTATCTATCTATCTATCTATCTATCTATCTATCTATCTATCTATCCACACTGCTGAATATATATTACCCAGAAGAATATATGGGTCACCCAGAACCCCTATACAGTATATATTCTTCTTACCCAGTGTTTGATATAACTCGGTCATCTTGGGATGATCCCAGCACGTGGTTTGTGCCTGGTGGCTGGAAAAAGAGCAAGAGATGAAGTTAATCAAGGGAGCGCTACATACGATCTGTTTCAAAGACGTGTGTGAAGGCAAAACCATGCCTGTCTCATGAGATCTGGTGCTGGAAAAAAGGAGGTCTTAGGACGTGATCAGACAGGGAAATTGCTTTCTTTTTCAAATGACTCTGGCATGATACGGTGCTAGTCCTTTCCTGGAGGTCACACGATGTATGGGCAATAGCAACCCAACCCAACCTTGATCCAGGGTCAAGCTGGACCTTTCTGGTCCTGCAGCAAGGCTATTCTTTTTGGGGGCCAGGCTGGAACAATTCCTTAATTGCTTTAAGGGCAATCCCTCCTAGCCCAGTGACCCTTTTCCATTGTGGTCAGATAGACTCCTGTCTCTCCATCGGATTGCACCCGGAGACAATTCCACAGGCCCCACGATGTGCAGACAGAGAGCATGGGAAGGGATAAATGCTCACATTTTACCCTTGTGCAAGGCCTGCTAAGAAACGAAGCCATGTCAAGCTTGAAAATGCAAATGTCTTGAGAGACCCCGGACTTTTAAAATAGCCCACTGGCAGATCTTTCTGATTTTGACAGGGGGAAAATAGGGTTACAAAAATGGTCCAGGGTAACATAGAAAACATGTTAAAAGATATCAAGACTGCAAACACGAGGAGCAAGAGACAAGAGGAAGTCCCCTTCAGACCCAGCTGGACACTCACTTGATGTAGTACGGGACTTTATTTGGAGAAATTGCGCGTTCCCAAGGGACTTGGACTGAGGCTAGAAGAAAAAAGCAAAAAGAAATTATGCAGAGAAATAATATCAGGGAAAATCCAAAGGAACAAAACGAAACAAGACAAAAACATGCGGCACTTTAAAGACTAACAATTGCATTTTAATGTGAGCTTTCATGGACACGTCCACTTCATCAGACATATGGGGGGAGAAAAATGAAATACCAGAAATAATTGTATCCATCTAACAAACCACCCAACTACTGCTGTTTACTAGGGAAACGCTCTCTCTCACACACACACACCCTCAATGCTGTCCATGGGGGAAAAATATTCCTGCGTTGCCCCATTTTTTGTCTTTTGGGGAATTTCTTGTCAATACTTCCTTAGGGCAAGTTCTCATTCTCCAGGGTTCAGCTCTAGAGAAGTGAGGTGGAACCTGCGGTCCTCCAAATGTTACTGGACAACAACTCCCATCAGCCCTGACTAGAATGGCCAGTGATAAAGGGTGATGGAAATTGTAGTCCAGCATCACCTGGAGCAGTACAGATTGCTTTTTCATGCTGCAGAAGTCTAGATGGTTCAGAGTTCAGTTGCAACAGATTTCACTCTAGCATACTTCTGTGTACAAGGCTGCATGTACATCATAAAGCAAGCATAAGGCAACAATTAGATTCCGGTCACTATTGTGACTTGTATGCAAATTTCTTTTAAATGCAGCTACATGTTCAAGATGGTATGCTTTCTTTGCATTCAAAATTGTGTTTTCCCCTCTTCTTTCTTGGGGTCCTGTAGTCTCATCACTACAGACTTCAAGAAAGCCTGCAACACACTAGGAGAATGGTAGGAGGTCCAAGAAAGAATAGTGCATTTCCCCCCACCATGATAACTACTTATGCTGGATAGGTCACTCACTTACTTGAAAGGAAATGCTGTGATCCTGGGCCAAAGTCCCGGTGGGCATCCTGAAGGTGTTTCAGGCGGTCATTGACAGAGACCTACACAAGGGGAGGGGAAAAAACAGGGGAAGTGTGTTATATCTTAGCTTATACAGCATTTTATGCCAAGTGTCCATGCATACACGCATGTCACAGAATGCAACACTTTATTGGCTGCACTGAATCCCACCATATATAAGATTTAAAGTGAACACAGCCAAAGTCGTTTGGCATTGCTGGCTATGGCTTGAAAGCACTCTTACTTTTCCTTTCCTCAATGAGCTCTGAAAGAAGCAAGGTTTACACTGAATCCAGATACAGACAGCATCAACTGGTTAGCATCCGTGACGTTACTGATATAACCCTTGCCACAATCTCACCAATAATGCTGCACCAGTTTTTAAAAGATTCCTTAAAAAAAAAATTAAATGAAGGCTAAGTATATAAGCATATATATTTCCAACAGCAGTAGTTGAAAAGGGCAGGTAGCCGCACACAGATGCAGTGGAAAGATTCAGAATTTGATTCGATGCCACCCTTAGCATGCGTCAGGCTGTTGGTTTTCACTGGCTAGCCTCACATTTCTAGAACAGTAGAAGTACAGAGCTGGAAGGGGTGACTCCGAGATTATCTACATCAGTCCACTGCCACAGCGTCTCTGATGAGAGGTTTTAAATACAAGCTGGGCAGACGCTCCACATCAGAGAGACCACAACTTTGTGACGTGGTCTGCTCCGCTGGCAAACAGTCTGCATCATCATCTCTCAAATGTCTCCCCATTACGTGATAGCATCACCTGCAAATCAAAGCAAAAGCATGCTGCTTATATACCTCCCCATAGCGCTTTAAGCACTCTCTGGGCGGTTTACAAGTTAATTAGGCAGGCTACACATTGCCCCCCCCCAGCGAGCTGGGTACTCATTTTACCAACCTTGAAAGGCTAGAAGGCTGAGTCAACCTTGAGCCGGCTACCTGGGATTTGAACCCCAGGTCATGAGCACAGTTTTGGCTGCAGGACAGCAGCTTAACCACTGCGCCACGGGGCGCATCACCCATGCCATCCCATGCTCCAGACGTAAATAGCCAGACTAGCACAGGAGAAGCAGCAGCTAGGGAGGGCTAGGCTCCCTGCAGATGCTCAAAGCTTTCTTCTTACGTCAAATATCAGTGCAGTATGTATGGTGTTCCTAATATTTTG